AAAGAAAAAAAAAACATCAACTGCACGATTACCAAAAATAGAGAAAAAAAAATCAGCAGCAAAACAATTTGATCGAAGCTAGAGGAAGAAAAGGAACCAGAAGTTTGAATTAAAAAGAGATGCATGTAATAATTGTGGAATTTCTGCATTGATCCTCCATCTTACCGGGTGAGAAAGAAACATCAGTTCGTACCTCAATCCCAGAGATATTCACAATGAAGATTCCAAAGGAGATTTTTGTACCCTTATCCTTTTCTTTTTCTTTCTTTTCCGCACAGACTTTTCCATTTTTTTCTGAGGAAGATATAACATTGTAAAAATTCTAGTTACGTCCGGGTTAATGTATAGTTTTCCTGTAGAAATTTATTGTCTTGTGATGTACCTTCCCCTCCTTTGTTGCCTTTCGAATGGTGAAATTTTGAATTGCTGACGTTCGTTTTATTCATCTTCAACCGAATGATTTGTAATTGTCATTCCAATGTTTTTGCAACCTATATATTTATCAATCGTCTCTTACACTACCTAAAGTTGCACTCCCAATTCCCATCACCGACTTTGACTCAAGAATTTTGAGGAATTTAAGACATTATTTGAGGTTGAATCGAAATCGGAGACTTGTAAGGCTATCCGGTGAGGAAAAACTTACCGTGGTAGCGAGAACCTTTCATGGTGCTAACTGCTAAGGATAGGATCAACGTTTACCTAAGATGCGGCAATGCGCAAATTTCTTTCCTTTTTTTTGTAAAGCTATTTTTTTTTTTTTAAGTTAACAAAGGTACACTAAGTTATATCTCTAAGTGCGTATCTCAAGTTTTTACAGATTCATTCTCCACAAGTGGGGAGATACATGACGGGGTTACATCAAAAAAAAATATACACCCCTAGCTAGACTAATACATGACGGGATTACATCAAAAAAATATACACCCTAGCTAGACTAAGCGCCTCTTTTGCTAAGCAATCAACGCATTCATTTTTAACTCTAGGAATATGCAAAATACGGACCTCCAATTTTCTGATAAGAGTTACTGGATTTTTCTAAGGTCATGATCCAGCATAAGATTCCCTTGTATTTGCGAGACCAACTGGACTGCAATCACGGAATCAGATTCGACAAGGACTTTTCGATGTCCCTGTTCTCTAGCGAGCTCTAGGCCCAAGCGAATAGCCGACAACTCTGCTGTTTCAATAGAGCATCGGCCTAGGTATGAATTAAAACCTGACAAAAATCGGCCTTTGTCATTACGAATGAGACCACTTGCTGCAGCTGCTCCTGTTTCCAGATTAACAGCTCCATCACAATTTAGCTTAACCTAATCCAGAGGTGGCGGATTCCAAGCCATGAATTCCCTACATCTCTCTGGAGTTCTTCACTTTAGAATCTCTTGGCTACGTTGAATTTATTCTACAAGACAATGAATTTCCCTTATCGCAGCATGAATCCCCACATTTCTATTGTTGAAGACTCTCTCATTTCTCCAATTCCAAATACACCAACAAGCCACACCAAACAAGGTTCTCCAATCTTGATTACTATCGCTCAGATTAGATCTAAGCCATGTCTTCAATGGTTGGTGGAAGAACTCTAGCCGACGACCTACAGGAACTAAATGCTCCCACAAAAACTGTGTACTTGGACAGTCTCTCAAAACATGCTGGGTTGTTTCACTCTCCCGATTACAGTTGTCACAAGTAGCTGGCTGATTGACTCCTCTATTATGGCATAACTCATTGGTTGCCAATCTACTATGAGTTGCAAGCCAAAGGAATGATTTGTACTTCTGTGGTCCCTTCCAAGTCCATACCTGGCTCCAATCCCTAGTTGCCTGCATATCCAAAGATTCAAGAGCTAAGTAATATGTTTTTTTAACTGAAAACATACCTGATTTGCCAAATAACCATCGGGGTTGATCTGCCCCTTGTTGTTCTGATGGAGGTAACAAACTGCAGATTTTCTCAACAATGTCTTCTGGTAGCTTGTGTTTCAACATTTCAAAATTCCAGCCTTCACTCGCCGTTGTATAGTCTTTAATTTTAAGCTGTAGTTCTGTGGTCGAAATAGGTGAAGTAGCGTATTCCGCTAATTCATTGTATCCCTCCACCCATTTGTCCTTCCAAAAGCTTATTGATTTTCCATCACCTATAGCCCAGGTTGTCCCTTTTTCCACAAGGTGATAGGTATCACAAATTCCCTTCCACGTCGGAGTAGAGCTTTTTTTCCTTACCATTTGAGGCTTTCCTGACCTGCCACAACTATATTTCGCTCTCAACACTTTGACCCAAAGGCAATCCTCCTTTGTTAAGATCTCCCAACCAAGTTTAGCCAAAAACGCAGCATTATTCTCTCTTACTTTCCTAAGTCCCAAACCGCCTTTTTTCTTTTGGTCACATACTGTATCCCATTTCACCAAATGCAACTTACTTTTGTCCCTTGTAGATCCCCACAAAAAATTCCGCACTAACTTATCTAGCTCATCACATATATAGGACGGCAATTTTGTTGATTGCATTTGGAATGAAGGTATAGCTTGTAGGCACAATTGAGCTAGTGTAATCCGACCAGCTGAAGATAGCTGATTGGCTTTCCATCCGGCAAGTTTAGCTCTAGCTTTGTCGAGTATTTCCTTGTAGGTGCTCTTGGTTACACGACCATGAATTAGAGGGGATCCAAGGTATCTCCCCAAATTGTTTGTTGCTCCGAATCCAGACATGCGGCATACATATTCTCGAATCTGCTGGGGGGTATTCCTTGAGAAGAAGATTTTTGATTTGAGCCTGTTGACTTTCTCTCCTGATATTTTACAAAAATCTTCAAGTACTTGATTGATCACCGTCATTTGATCAACTGAAGATTCTGCAAACAGAAACAAATCATCAACGAAAAATAGGTGGGACAATTTTGGTCCATTCCTATTCAACTGAATTCCTTTCCACTTATTATTATTAACTTCATGCATGATCTTATGTGCCAACAATTCCATACAGATTACAAAAAGATAAGGTGAGAGAGAATCCCCCTGTCTAATGCCTCTCGACGATTTGAACTCCTCGGTTAATCCACCATTCCAGAGTAGTCGCATGCTTGCTGAGGAGATGCATTCATTAATGAGGTTTACAAAAGTGGGTGGTAGTCCTGCTGCCTTCAAAGAATAAATAATAAACTCCCATCTCATACGGTCGTAAGATTTCTCCAAATCGATTTTAATGGTCATCCAACCTATTTTCCCTTTATTCAAACGCTAAGGATAGGATCAACGTTTACCTAAGATGCGGCAATGCGCAAATTTCTTTCCTTTTTTTGTAAAGCTATTGTTTTCGGCAATGTAAATGTTTTACCCGTTTATATAACCAACTTTGATTTCATTTAAATGTGAGATTTCTATACTGTTTCAGAAAGAAGGTTATTTATTTCTCATAGTTTTTTTCTGGTGCTGCGTGTATGGTGTTTTTCATCTGAAGTTTCTCTCTTGGTATACCGAGTTACTTTAAGATCAATATATGACTCTCTCTCGTGGTATACTTTTTCTTTCTTTTTTTTTTTCTTTTTTTTGAAAATGGTGGTATACTATAAGTTGCTCTGAAAATATATAAAGGTACGTCGAGAATATAAAAGATTTAAAATAAAAATGGAAAATTGAATGAAATGAACGGGAACCGGGAAGAGTGCTGATACAAAACGATAGTCCGTCATTAAGTCCACTCACATCTCATAATTGTGCGAACAATGATAGGGAATATGGTTTTTGTTCAAAACTAGTCTTGTCGATAATTTGACATGATATCATCAATCTTAACTTCAGTCGCCCATGATCAAATTTGTACAACCACATAATCATGCATATACGATAGCGAATAGTTGCAAAGTAATATTCCAACCAAAATACGGTATAATAGAAGTACTTGGCTCCCTCATTTATCAACAGAGCAAACCATTCTTGGAACAAAGCAATCCATGACAATCCGAACTTAGCAGTAAAGTATAAAGGAAAAACTGATATGCTGCCAACACCAAAAACAGCTCTAACTTCTAACTAATTCCAACCAGAATATGTCAAAATCATCAGAAATGAGCACAGATGCACAATCAAGTCCTAGATATCTCGGCATGGATGTGATGATAACTTGAAAATATTTTACATTTGCTCAAATGACAACCTAGATTTGCACAATGGCAGTTCCCAGCTCAAATGCCAGCATCCTAAAAGAGGGAAGGTATGGCATCCGTAACGGTATAACTAAAAAAGGGACGTCACTAACTCGAAGAGTCGAAATGATTCACCACCTGAAAGTATTTTCAAGAGATAAATGCGACGACTTCTACCACCAGCGATGGTACTTGTCAAGGCTTACATTCAGTTTACACAGTCGATCTATGTACATGGAGTTCTCTAGGCAAACACAGAGGGTCAAGGCATATATTCAAGAATAATGCTAAAACCTCACTTTATCAAAGACTCTGCAAATCACTTTACCAATTCAAGTGTCACTAGATCTGATACACAATTTCTCAACCCCTAAAAATAACAGAAAAGGCAAGAAAATTACAGTACTAAAGAAGGCTTGGTTCGTGCCAAGAATAAAAGATTGTGCCGAAATGAGGTTACAAAAGATAAAATAAAATGAAAATATTCTCTGATCCAAGGCATAATAGTAACATTCTTCTATCAGAAATGAACAATATGCACTTCTTCCTATTGATTACATGTCTTTTGGTTTTACATCTTTTTACGGTGGGGAACCTTCATTGCTGTAGTACTCTTATTCAGAAAATAGTCCCAAACTCAAAACTAATGAAATTACAATTGGGACGAGATATTGTATAAGAGTTAGATACTACTACAAAACCTATTGATCATATACCATAAGTAACTTTGTAATATAAACTCTGAAACCCACTTTGTAATATAAAATCCACAACCCAAATTAGAACTGATTGGAAGGAGAAGAAACTAACAAAATCGACTTACATAACCGGGCAAACAAGTGTTTTAGTGACACAACTACTCTTGAGATTCATCAGTGCTATTCTTCTTTTGGCCTCTAATCAATCCAGTCACCTGAAACAAAAATGATGAAACTAAAAAAGGGTTAATCAACAGGAAAATGTGTCAAAGAGAAAAGCAGGCCTACCCCAGTCTGATCCAAGATAGAGTAAGGATAACCAAACTAAAAAACTCATAGCAGCCAGTCACGCTTTGTTCATTCACCAATGTCATATAGCTGCCACTGCATAACAGTTAAATGTGTTTCGGAGATCTACTATCAAAGCAACAATCCACTGTTTCTTTTATTTCACTTAGTGTAGCTTTTACCGAACAACCCACTGAGTCTTCATTTTCCCACTTAGATTCCACTATGGAACAATCTAGAATGAACCCGTGATCAAACAATCATTACTGAGAACAAATACAGCTATAGGATCACATAGTGTCTATGAATGTGGAAATTTTAGCAACATTAGCAGCATAGCAGAATAGTAGGGGCACCTGGGGATCAGGAATCGGCTTTCGTTTCTCAATGTAGCGATTTGGGTCAGCTGCAGCCATCGCTGCCCTTTCCTACAACGCCAAAAAAATCAACAAATTATGCAAATTTCAGGATTAATCAACAAATTGCCCTTCAAAACAAAATGTCCAAACACCGACCAGTTGCTCTTTCTTGAGTTGCTGAGAGGGTTTTACCCAGAGGAAGTAAGCTAGGGTTCCGGCCACTGCCCACGACGCCAAATTAGCGGTTCCCTTCAGCCCTCCCATCGAATTCCCGATGAACGACCTCACGTTCCCTAAGCCTTTTCGCCACCCGCTCGCCATGATTTTGTACAAATTTTTCAGCTTACACAACAAGCTTCACAATTTACCCTAGGTTTCAGTCTCACTACTAAACACCGGTGACCTCCTGAAGCCACCGTCCGCCGCCGACCAGACTGTTCGGTTCGACCACTTTTTCGTTCTGAAAACGAGCCAGAAATATGAATCGAAGACTACTACACGAGTCGAGCTCCTTAGCCATTCATTTTTTTCCAAGCCCTGGGCCAAATTCAGAAAAGCTCCAAAATGTAATGCGAAGGCCCAAGCTATTTCTTAACAAAACAAGAATTATTGGCCCATAAAGTTTTTTTTTTTCTTGACAAAACCTATAAAAATTCAAAATAAGTGTTGTTGCATTCATAATTTTTCTTTGAATTGGTTGTGACAAGAAAATAACCACCATTTGAATTTTCAGTTTTAACAAAATATGCATTAAAAATGAAATATCAAACATTCATTTCGAGACAGGAGAATAAAATACAGTGATCACTTTCGTATGTGATTCTCATAATTTTAAATAATCGAATTAAATTGTAGCAAAAACTTCTAATAACGCCTTTGTCAGACCAAACAATAATAATGATAAAAAATATTATAAGGAATTTTTTCTTTAAATATCATTACTCTATTAATGATCGATTTTTAAATAAGAAATTTAAATTTTTAAAATTAAATATTCCAATAATGTAGTAGGTCATTTCTTCCTTCTTTATGTTAGTTTTGTGCCATGCATCCTCCATGTGGGCTTTGAGGCGGAGAAGTTAATGTTCTGACTCTGTATCGTTCCGACTTGAGGAAAAATGTGATATATCATTTAGAAGGCTCACCTCAAAAATGCTACTATGTGCGGCTCAAGCACATAAAAGAAAGTACTACAAATTCTAACAATAGCCTTGTTTCTTCGTAATCATCAAAGATTAGTTAATGCAGGAAGACACAGTCTAGCTCTTTGATTGATCATCGGTTCAGCTCGCACACACATTAGCTAGACATGTTTACAGTAAGCGAGGCATCGAAAGATACTGATACCTGATGCCCGTTTCAGTTCATCATTACAAAAAGCGACAGGTTTCCAGCGAGTTAATGAAATCAATTCTTAAAAAAGGCGAGCAAAATTCGTTGAATAGGTATAGAGAGTATAACTGCTGACAAAGATACACACAAATGTGAAGGCCGTAATCATTAGTGTCCTGTCCTTCACACATGCAAAAGGCAAAAGTGAACCACTAGAAAGAATCCAATGTAAGAACTACAACAGTCCAATAGCAAGGAGCAACAATCAAATTCAACAAGATCCTTTCACATTAGACAAAGAATAGATCGGAATAATGTTAAAAGACTTCATGTAATCAACACAGGTAAACCAAACCTATGGAGATCAGTACAACTAAAAACTCACACCTACTTCGAATTTGTTATGGACAAAACAAGACGAAAGAAGACTTGAAGAAAAAATGACCAAGTACTTCTGCTTACAATGTAAGGAATGATGCAGTTGCAACCCATGGTATATGGGTTAAGACGCCAGAGACTTATCTACAGACCCCAAAAATATGTTGGGCTGGGACTAAGCTTCTCCTAAGTAATATAGGATTTGGTAAAAAAAAAAAAAAGAATCATATGTTGATTCTGAAATCACCTGTTGATTTTTTACAGTGTTTATTTCTACAGTGGGACCGACTTGTGGGATGATATGCTGGAAATCCCTTTTCCAGCAATCTCTACATTTTCACAATGCTATGCATGCTTTCACTGTCAGTGAACCCTTGTTCAACTCACAGATAGAATGCCGAGATACGACAGATTAGATTACTTGGATGCTTGGATGATGACGAAGATGATGCTGGAAGAACTGCTATCTGCATCTTCCAGGTCTATCTCTCTCTCTCTCCACAATTGGAGCGACTCGAACATGACTTTTTCTCCGGTGAGCATGAGATTACAAGATTACATTTATGACCTGCAGAAAACTCGGGCCATCAATCATCCATGCCTTGAAGAACATGCAGAAAAGATATGCCTCTTCAGCTTTTTTACCGGCCCAGAGTCTCCGAGCAACAATATATTAATTCCTTGAACAGCCAACAGATTCTCACACGAAAATAAATTACAAAGTATAGGATCCCAACCAACATGACAAAAGAACTGCCAACTTGGTTGACCCAAGTGTCTTGCATTTCACAAGATTCTAAGGTGCAATTTGAAGTGCCTCAAGAAATTAAGAGGCGATCATAAATCTCAAGGCAGGACTTGGAGACATACCTCTAGAATGCAAAATTAATAATTTGCAAGGCTAGATTTGAAGCCCGCCACTAGCAAGTAGCAGTACTGCTCCAGTAGTCCTGCTGCAATCTAATGGTAACTGCACCCCAAAAAGAAACCAAAAAAAAAAAAAAAAAGGTAGTTAAGAGATAAATAAGGGAACAAAAACACCAGAACAATGTGTTTGAATTAAAGACTGCACCAAAAGCTTGGACGAAAACAGTTATGCACTACCCACCTTTATAAAAATCCCTCACCCAGCATTTTGGTCAGAACCGCTACCTTGCATAAATCGAGGAGAATGAGCAGGAAGAATGAACTGATGTTGTGGTGGAACAGGTGTAGCAATACCTGAAATAAAACCTTAACTTGTCACAGCCGACAAATTAATCTTATGATCAGACAACCTAGAACCCATAACATGCTGATTGCACGAGCATTAAAGAAATCGTCAAAGATAGCTGATATCATGAAGAAGCATGTACCCACCAGAAAAACAGAAACAAAAGAAATTAGTAATGAAGGGTTAATACCAGTTGGATATGGTGCCTGAACAGTCGGAATAGATGATGCAGTCAAAGCATTCACAGCAGGCCCCCCTATATGCATAAGCTGATGACTGGCCATTGGATAACCCTGCAGTGCCGTATAATTATGGCTTCCCGGAACACCTTGACCCATCTGGTTGTAGGGATATACAGTTGCATTAGCTGTTCCAGGGAGACCATATATCTGAAGGTACTGCTGCCCACCATAAGGATTGTAAACCCCCTACGTAAATAAAAATAAATAAATAAAAGAAGGAAAATGAGCGTCAAACCAAGACTTGATAACCCAAATTAGAGCTCTGTAATCCTGTATCAGAGAGGAATAAATATTTTCTGAGTCAATTACCATTCCACCAACCTGAGGATAGACATATTCTTGACCATATGTTGCATACCTAAAATTGATAGAAAGTACAAAATTGCATTATATGATATATACATCTATTTTAAAGCAATACACATAGTGCTAGATACAATTACCAGCTCCTTAGAAGAAACAATGCCAAAGTGGAAAAAACAGTACTATAATTAGGTTATGATAACAACACATATTAGACCATTTATAATGTGTGTGTGTGTCTGAGAGAGAGAGAGTCTTTTTGTTTCTTCCCAATTATTGTCTGAAGAAAGGTAGAAGGAATATGAACTTGGAGTTTCCCCACAAAACCCGGGAGGGTGCGTAGCTGATTACTTCAGTTACAAATCTCAGTTTCCTCCAAAAGCATAAACCACTTGAAAATTTGTACGTGTCACAAAAAAAATTGCCATTATGATTCAAGGGGTGCAGACCTATTAATCTACTAAAACTGAGGTGTCTCTACTTACACGTGCTAACGGCATGCTGATCTGAAACTTTCTTTAAAAAAAGAAATAATTGGTGGTAACATATGACTTACCCGAATGGTGAATAAACTAGGTTTTGTTGATAGCCATAGGGAACTGGTTGCTGGTAACCGAAGCTTCCAATGTAAGCACCCCGAGCAGCTGGAAGCCCTCCAAGGTAAGGTGTTGGTGATCTCAGCCTCCCTGTAGCCAATAAAGCATTAGATAACAAATGAAATTACCAACGATACAAAAACGAGATAACGAAAAGCAGATAAAGCCTGGTTTAATCAGTCATTTAATGATTCTCAACTATGAAGTATTAGTCAGACACTTAAGAAAACTTCCTTTCAAATGCATTTCAAATAGGCTTTCTTAGAATGTAAGAATCTGATGTCATCTTTTCATTTAAGAGTAATGATTGGTACAAGGAGAAAATGAAAAGGAAAAACGACAAGGAAATGATCTCACCCATCCATTATTAAAACTTTCCAAACAGGGTTTATGCATTTAAGGTTAGGGCATAGTTAAGATCTTGACACATCATTCCTTGTCATTTTTCCTTGCCATTTTCTACTTGTGCCTATCACTACTCTTCATTTAAATAGCACCTATATAGTTCAATGATGCTTTAAACTATTCTTAATAATGGATCTGATCATATCTGTGACTAAATATATCCATGATCTGATCATGCTTTAAACTTCATTTCAACTCATTTCAAAGAGGTTTTCTTAGAATGGAAGAATTTGAAATCAGCTTTCCAATTTAAATAGCACTTATACATGTATCTCATCATGCCATCAATTAATCTCTTAAGCTTAGGTCACCAACAGAAATCCATTTCCAACACTAGCTACGCAACTACAACTCAATATAATATATTCCCCACAATCACCTCACTTGATCAAGAAGGAAACAAAATCAATATATAAACTATCCAAATGGGGCTGGAAGGAATAATAGGCCCCCTATGATGGAAATACTAGCCACAGGATTTAACAAATGACGCTGAACCGAATCATAGCCGAATCATACATCTCGTTGTTCAACTAGTAATTCAGAAACTATCCAGGTAGCAATTGAGCACATAGAGAATACAAGGGGAAACATTAGGGAGATAAACCTTATAACAGTTGTCCGGTGGAAGCACAGCAAACGATTCATAAGGCCATCAAACATCTAGCTAAATACTAATAACAATATAAGAATAGGGATAATACCAAATGGCATGGATGGACGAGGACGCCCCAGTGAAGCCAAATTACAGTTGGCTCGTCTGCCATCAATAATTGGTGTTGGATCAGCACATGCTCTCCTAGCAGATTCAGGGTCCCGGAAAGTCACCTAAACCCTCCATACAAATACAATTGGAAATCATTCAGTTATTCATCCCACAATTACAAACGTGGAACAACAATGCAGGGCGCACTTTACTTCTTTTTTTGCCTTTAATTTGATTTCATTTCCGGAGTGAAATGACAAGACAAATAAAATAAATCTCTCTTAGTCAATACTTTAGAAATGAAAATCATTCAATTTATTCATTTACTGAAGAGCACCTTGAAAATTACAGCCATAGCTCAAAAAAGATTCCAAAGCTAAAAGGAAGACACTTTCCGACACGGAAATTCCATAAATATACAAATTTTTTGAGGATTAAAATGTGACTATCCAAAGTTAAAATCTCCATTACTCAAAACAGATTCCAATCCATCAAAAAGCAAGCATTTCATAACATGGAATTTCGATGTAAAATGCAATCATTTTGAAGGGTTATTAGGGAAACAAGAAACACTCACAAAACCATATCCTTTGGATCGCCCGGTGTTCTTATCGGTAATAACAACAGCTTCAAGAATGTCACCAAACTGCTCAAAGTATCGCCTCATGGTATCGCTCTGAGTCTCCCAAGCCAACCCTCCAACAAATACCTTTGTGAAAGTGGTATCCCCAAATGGGGAATTCAGAAATTGCAGCCCAGAACCACCAGAACCCGGCGGCGCCGGCGGGGGCTGAGGAGTCTGCTGCTGCTGATATGCCATTCAAGGATGCTGACAAACACAAACCCCCCCTCAAAAAAAAAAGGTAAAAAAAAGGGGAAAAAAAATTAACAAAAAAAAGAAAAGAAAAGTTGTCTTTGATTTGATTAGCCCAGAAAAAAATAGAAAAACAAGAAGCCCTACAAAACCCTAAAGCAAATTAATATATATTTTGATGGAAACAGAGGAAAACTTGAAAAGGGATAGAAACAGTGGAGAACGAGATCAGAGGGCTGAAGTGGGAAGAGGCGACTATGGTCTATGGAAGGTAATTTTCCCCCAAAATAATAATAAAAATAATAATATTAACAAAAGAAAGAAAAGGGGGGAAAAGAAAACCCTAGAATTGAGGTGGTGGTGGGAAAGAAAAAGCAAGGAAGAGAAGGTCAAAGCTTAAAACAAGGTGGGGCTATGATCAGCTGTACAAAGAAGGGGAAAAAAGGAAGGAAGAAAGAGAGGGACAGTGTTAGTCCATAGCCATGATGATGATGATGATGATGGGATCAAAATTTGAGCAAACAAAAAAAAAGGGATGATCCTTTCTTTTCTTTGGTTTATATTTAAATTATAGAATTTCAACCAAAAAAAAAAGAGCTGTACAAATAAAGAGGCTTAATCCAAATAATAATCAACAGTAGTACTGAATTTGGTGGTATAATAGAACTCCTCTCACTTTATGTACATGGAGAGCTATATGGCCTATTAGTTAAGGAGAAAAAGATGGTAAGGGAGATGGAGAAACAAAAAGGAGGGATTTTGTTTTGAGTTTTGAGTGATTTGATTTGGTTGAGGAAGAAGAGTTGTTGAGATGATGTTGTTCATGGTGGAAGGAAGATGTTGTTAGTGATGATGAGGAAAAATGATGATGATTGATTTGATGAGAGAGAAATAAGAATGAGAAGGAAAGGAAATGTAAGGAAGAGGAGTCTTTTTCGGAAATTACAATTGGAATTGAATTGAATTGAATTCCCACTAAATTTGTGTTGGTAACTTAGGAGACCTGTTGAATCCTTGGAGGAAGACTTCCCTCCTCTTCTTCCTCATCATTTCTTCATCTTGATTTCACTGGATTTTGTCCATGAATGGTTTTCTCTTCTTTTTTTTTCCCTTCCAACAAGGAAATGGAGAAAAGGCAAACAAGACAAGGAGAGGGGTGTAATAAACATTTCATTTTGGGCAAAAGTAACATAAAAAAAATTTCTTTAGAATAAATTTTACAGTTAATAACAACATATTCGAAGCACATCAATAAATTAAAACTTAAATTCCAATCAACAGATTTTACTTCAAATGGAACGCTTGAATCCTCCATAAAAGTTTCAGTTATAAGTTCGAAAAATGAAAAAAATATATATATACATATATATATATATATATTTTCTCCTTGGTAAAGAGAAAATGAAATCGGAAAGATTATAGTTAAATTCAAAACTTGTTTTTTCTAGTCACGATGAAACTTGAAATTAGAGTTTGGGAGTCGGAATTTACAAATTAGAGAAGAGCATGTAGAATATAATCTCCCATTGTTCCATTACGAAAGCAAGAAGAATCGAGTCTTGCCTTGGTGATTAGAGCGTTGTACCTTTAATCGTGAGACTGATGATTCGATTCCTACTGCAAATGCAAGAAACAGACAGCTACACACTGAAGTAGGTAGCTGAGTTAAGCAAACAGGTAGCTTGCACCTCAAGACCACGGAAGACCGGACATCGCGATCAGGAGACTGACACGAGTGGAATCCCATTAGTAGTACTATCCTCTTCCCAGTAGATTCCACCCTCTTGTAATAACTACCCTATCGGCGCCGGTCTCAATAAAAATCAAAATTGGGGAACAAAGTGTTTTTTTTGACTAAAATTATTGCAAGACATTTTTTACGAGGGTGATTTGCAAATTAAAATTTTACGGTGTATTTTTTGGGAAATAACTAAAAGTTCAGTCGCGTAAGCCATTATTCTTTGCTAAGCCTTGGCTTAGCCTGGAAATTATATCGGCTGAGCTCCAGCCTGCAAGCAGCTTGTAGCTTGAGTTGGTGGGGACTGGGCTATTGAGTGGATTTCCCTTCTCTCTAGAAGTCCCAATCTCAATCTTTAACGAATCAAATATCCAAAGAATACAGCTCGGATGTGGGCTCGCATGGGTCTCTTATGGCCCACTTAATCCCCACAAATGTAATTCTGTACACCTATACACCCTGCAGAATCGGCCCATTTGTATATAGTTTCTTTTTTCCTTTTTTTTTTTGTGGGGTTCAATTGTGTATACATAATTTTAGGTCAAGTATGTATCAAATTTTTACTGTTAACATATACTCCCTCCGTCCCATAATTATTGTCCAATTTTACTAAAATGAAAGATTTTATTTTTAGTCAAACTTAACTATATTTTATCTTGAACAACCGGATATACCCTACATAAGTAATTGTTTAACCACAAAGATTTTAATGGATAATGCTTTTACTAAGGACAAATGTGTAACTTGATCCATAAAAAGTCAAATTGGACAATAATTTTGGGACAAAATTTTTTGGACAAAGTGGACAATAATTATGGGACGGAGGGAGTACACTTTTATTGACGTCAGCTAATAGAGAGAGTGACGTATTATAATTAAAAAGAGATTTCACCTTGCTTTTCCAAAACAATCTTACTAAAAGTGTAACTTCATCTAATGTAGCGGCATACATTGAAATTATCATTACTATCTCGAAATTACAAAAACATTTCTCATGTTTAAAATAAAATTTCCGGAAAAAAAAATGAGACCAAATTGTGGGAATTATAATATTTCGGAGGGACAATGTTCCATAAAGGAGTTTAGGACAATGGACCCACCCTGCAAGTACTTTGGGTGTTCTTCTTCTTCTTCCCTTCAAATAAGAAGAAATATAGCAGTTAGCGAGATTACTATGTCTCATTTTAATTGATTTTTTTTTTCCCCTTCATAAATTACATTTCCAATCTTTGTTGATGGCCCTAATCTTACATGAAGACAAGGGGCCTTGGTATAAAAAATTGAAGACCTGTGTTTGCATATTGTTCATATCATAAGCACAGAAGTAGAAAAGAAACCCACAATCACTCATAATGATTAGTATAATATCCAATTTAATTGTGATCAAGATCCCAAACATAGCATAAACATACATAGATAATTAGATTATTACTTGTTAATGTTATAAAATTATTGTTAGACTACTAATATGAAACTAAGCATAAAAACAAGAGAGACATAAGAAAGTGGAGAGAGATAAGAGACTTGTATTCAGATGTATTTTAAAGCATGAATGAGCTACATGTTTATACAAGAAGTAGGGGATCAAACTGTGGGAAATGAATCAACTATCATTAATGCTAAATATTACATAATCATATCTCATTGAATGTGAATAGAATAATACATATTAATTATGGACATTCAATCAAATCAAATCAAATATTTCATAACACTCCCCCTTTGAATGTCCGTCTTTGCGGAATAATGTCTCGTTAAAACCTTACTAAGAAAAATTCTTTGGGATAAAACCCCGGTGAAAGAAAAAGAGTACACTTCCGAATGTGATGTTCCCTCGTTAAGAACCTTTTTTTAGGAAAATCCATTGGGACAAAACCTCAATCAAGGGAAAAAGAGTACAGCGTGGGTTACACCCCCTATTAAGTACGACCCTTGTAATCTTCTCGTTGCATGCAAAGCTATTGACCAGGTTCATGGTTGTTTGAATCAATAATAAATAGATTACTTCGACTTCTCATGTAGACGGTTGTCAAATACATGTATAATCTTGAGTGTTTTATAATAATGGATATGCATGACCTTCATACCTTGAACGTATCAATATACACCATCTAAGTCTTGACTAATTGATAAGATAAACCGAAACTTTATATATAGTACTTCAAGATCAAATCGGTCTACATCATTAATAGAAAGTCAAGAAGAATGACATATATACACATGAAGATTTTAATCAAGTGCACTCAACGGGTGTTGAATATACAAAGGTCAAACTATTTAGACCGAGATTCTACTCAAGATCTTTCATTATCCTTGCTTCCGGCAAGTAGCAACCTTTTGAACTTCCTTAGAAGTGTTCAAAATTCTGATATAACTCTTTAGGAGTTTTACTTATATTCAGGCTATTCGAACTTCGTGATAAGTTTCGATAATATTCAGCCTTTTGAAACTCTATAAGAGTTCGGTGCTAACAAAATTGTAATGCATATATGGCTTATGAATACTCACTCTTGTATTAGTTATCATCCTATCATTCAAATATGATCATAAAAACAGATAGAAAATCATGTTACAAACAAACATAACATATCTAGATAAAACAAACATAGCAAATCTATTATATTAAAAAATATAAACCTAAATATCTAGACACATGAAGACATTATAACTTACGCAGGTCCTTTGAATTAATTTCTCGAGAATTGGGATCATGTCCCTTTTTATTTTTAATCCTTCGGAGATTCATATAGACGTCATTATTAAGTATCACGTATTAAGTGATCACTATAATCAAGAGATGCATTTCTTATCTTCATTTGCTACCAGATTAGTAAATAACAAAAGATTTTCCTTTTCATCCACCATAAGATAAACTGGACTTTGGGGAAAACTTGTGCAGCAAAGAGGTTGATCGATAATCTGTTGCACAATCACCCGCCAAAATCTAGCCCATATATCACTTGTCAAACTCCTAGTTCGTAAGTAATTTCAATTCTAAATATACATCGTCAAGTGTGTATTGCATCTTTTCATTTGTTGTGGCCAATAGGTTTAATGTCTGCATCTACAACAGACTTCATTTCATGATCCTCATTTTCATTTATTTTACTGCTGCAACATAAGCAATTTTCATGTTGACATTTTATTTCTGATCGATTCCATGTTCTTCGGTAATGAGATCTCACAATAATTAAGTTTCTCAAGTATTCATATACTTCTTCTGGAAGTTAATTTACCATAATGAGAAACTATTCCAATTTAAAATTCTTATGAATTATAATCACTCGTATTTTCCATCTCTATAGATTTAAACCTTATCATTTACGAGGATTTTTATCATTTGGAATCGATGGTTCTACCACTCATTAAATGTACATTCAACTAACAAATAGTGGTAGGTAGTCCTTCAGGGATACATTATCAAATTCTAAGTTTTAACAGTCTTTTATATAAGATATATTTATACATTCTGTCAGGTAAGCATCTGGTCTTAAATATTATCTCTTGAACTTCAGGTTCATATCATCGAGGATCATAATGAGATAATTACATTGTCCATCAGATTTTATAAATAAGTTAGTTTAACTTCTCCCCCTGATTTTAGGATAATTAACTCTCTAAATGACGATTAACCAATCGAGTAGTTAATAAATCTCCCTTTCGGAGTAACTAACTCGTCAAACTAATACGATCAGTCCATTGAGTAGTTAATCCAACATCAATAGTCTCCAACATTAGAGATTCAATATTTAACATACATTTCTGACCTCTTCTAGAGGTTCCATCATTGTGTGCATTGTGGTGGAATAATTATAATATAGATTGCACATGTAATCTTTGAAGATGGATATGTATGGTTTCTGAACAAAAACCACTTTTGGGGAGAATATTTGCAATGACTTGTTTGGTCTTATGCATATAATTGGTGCCCTTTGTGTTTCAACACTTCGTCAACTATACATGAGGTAATTATTTTAATTACGCACATGCAATAATTGATTCTACTAGATCGCTTCCTTATTGCTTTTATAGGCACTCAATGTTCAACTTCTATCATTATGGTCTTGAGTCATACAGTCACCACAATTGTCAAATCAAAATTCTCGCTAGAGCAGAACATGAAAATCTGCAAGTTACCAATTAAACTCCATAATAAAATTTCTGTAAACTTCAGTTGCAAATTAACGAGATTCATACATGTGGCTATCTCATCGACATGTGGATTAATATTCTAATTTGTTGGAAGAAACTCTTGGTTCTCCAAATTTAATGCATATAAACTTTCTCATTTCATCTTGAAACCAGAATGACTTTAGTTATGCCAAATTATAGAATTTCTCTTCTGGAGAAAAATAGTGAATTAATTATTCAAATATACCAGAACAATTTCGCTCCACATGAGCGTTTACTCTGATAGAGTATTTGTTATTCAATTATTTTCATTCTACCATAGTTTCTTGCTCTTTTGAAAGCAAAGTGTATCGCTACTCTGCTAGAGACGACAATAAATTTTCAAATTCAAAATAGTTGTGCTGGTAGAGCAATTTACATTCTTCTTTGATACTTTGGAGAATATAATGTATCTCAATGCAGTTTCTCCTTCTAACATTCTCTTGCTCTTTTAGGAGCAAAGTTTATTTACTATTGCTCTTCTAGAGGCAATGATGAATTATTATATTTTCTCTTCAGGAGCATTTATTTGTTTTCACTCTCTGGAGTAATTATACTCTACGGAAGTTTTCATCTATCTTTGCAGAATAATTCAATGGCATATGCTCTACTGGAGCTTTAATTAATTTTGTGTTGATCATTGACTAACATTCCCTTCAAGGCGATTAATAAAATTCACAATACCCACAGAGGTAATATGAGTTGCACTATGTGCAAGGCATACTTTAGCCATTAACAAATTTAGATCTTATTTTCTTTGAAACATGTAGATAGAAAAGTCAATTAAATAGTATCATTACTATGGTGACCAAAAGACCACAAAGATCGAATTATAATTTGTTAATTCATTATCGACAGGACTAATGAATTTGTCTATTTTCAATAATATATCGAAAACATCAATAAGATAATTGTGGATGTACAGAACATGTGAACCGAGTGGTTTTCTATGTCACAGTGATAGCATTTGCAATATACTACTTTTTAACTTCAAATCAACAGTAGTGTTTTCACTATTTTTCCAACTTCAAGTAGTTATTAGTGTACATGTCAGAATACCAATATCATTGTTTCATAATCGTCACATTTACTTTAGGAAATGAGCCATATCTAAATTGAACATGTCTTCAAATTTACTTTCCAACTTCAGGTGAAGAATTGTACATTATATAATTAATATAGATTTAATGTCTACGATTTTTTTTGAAATAATTTACTCCCCACTCACTTCAGAGAAAGAAACAATTAATAAGATTTCATCAAATTTTTTGCGATAATGTTACTACTGGAGCAATTTAATATGCCATCACATCATTGCTACTTCAGGAGCAACTTTGATGCATTTTCATATTGCTACTGGCAATATAGTTTACTTGCATTAGTAAATATTAGTAATACTATGAGTAAAGTAGAATATAAAAGTACAAAGTAAAATATGAGAAGGAGATTTCTTTATTTTTACTAATATTAATAAACGTATGATAACAAAACAAAGTATTTTCCTTGCAATCTAAATATCAAATAAATTAATTCTTTAAAGAAAACATTTTTTTTCTTTGCACACATGGATACTATCGCAATTATATGCAACTTATATAAATTTTATATATTCACATGATCAACAATCATATACATAGTTTAAGAATTGCATCGTAATTGTATGATATTGTATGATATGAGTAAATAGAATTTATAACAAGAAATATTTTTCCAAATATGCATGTTTTATGATTTACCTTTTTCTTCCACCATCATCATTTTGAGTCATTAAATTGAACTCCATGATGAACCGTCTCAGACCGAAAAGTTTTTTGAGGTCACGGCGCTTCAGATCACGGAAACCTTTTAAATTATTCATTGAGCCTTCAGGCCTTCAAATCAATACGCACCAATTTCAGGCGTTGATAGAATTAAAATACTCATTGAGGCTTCAGGCGTTTAGAACTAATACGCACCAACTTCAGGCGGTGGTAGAAGCTCTTTTGTTAGAGTCTTCGTACTGATAACGTGTTATAAAATTATTGCTAGACTACTAATATGAAACTAAGTATAAAAACAAGAGAGACATAAGAGAGTAGAGAGAAATAAAAGACTTGTATTCAGATGTATTTTGAAGAATGAATGAGCTCCCTATTTATACAAGAAGTAGGAGATCCAACTGTGGGAATGAATCACCTATCATTAATGCTAAATGTTACAAAATCATAGCTCCTTGAATGTGAATAGAATAATACATGTTAATTATAGACATTCAGTCAAATCAAATTAAATATTTCATAACAGTTATTTTTACCCCTTTTAACAGAGCTATTCCTATGATCCTATCTAAATTAGTAGATGAGTAGTTCCCGGCAATATTTCTAGAAATGATTCTTAGGAAGGTGTGGAACTAACTACAATAAGAAGGCAATCAAACCAAATTAACTGTAAAAACTAACTAAATTTAAAGCTGGAGTGGTTCTGGTCAAAAATAGTCCACGTCCAGGCAATGCTACAAAAAGAGATATATATATATATATATATATATATATATATATATATATATATATAAAAGCATTATGTATATTATAAACAATTAAAAGAATAGAGAGTAACTGGCAAGCCTAACAAGAAAGCGAAGTTGGATAACTCTGATGACTGTTTACTAATAATTGAAACAGAAAGAAGAGGACCCTACATCATTAGCCAAATGGATTAAACACTTGATTCTTCTTTAACCAAATCTTAACATTTCCTCCATCCCAAAAAATAAGAGTCGTACTTATAATACTAATTTATTTCAACAAACATGACTCTTTCTTTTGGGACATATAACACTTATTGTAACTATTACAAGCAATGGTTCGTCAGGAATGAATGACAAAGAGATATTTTTTATTTGACAGAAGATTATGCAGAGAAGATATTTGCACAAAAAAATATTTCAGCTGTCTGACAAAAATCCTCCTTGTTTGTAACTTGCTACAGAGTCCATAGCTGTTTCCTCTAATGGCCTATATGTCCAACCCAGCTTCTGCAATTTCTCAGAACTATACTTCTCCCTCTTCTTCGCCTCTATAAATCTGCAACATGATATACACTAGGCCTTATTAAAAAAGAAATTTGCGTTTAACAAATGGTATATGTGTAACAAACGGTAAGAAATTTTCTCAGAACTAAATGGTATATGCATTTAACAAAGCAGGATGATGATTTATGATTCATATAGCTGAACCTACATGATGAAATGGTATTACTGGTAAAATAAAAGCTCAGTTTCCGTGGTTAACCTCTATTGATCTGAATGACTAAAGCAGAACGACCTTTTTAAAGAATTGCTAATAATATGTTGGATTCACCTCTACTCTGCCAGACACAGCACATATGAAAAGGACAGATAAGCAGTTTTACCTCTTGGGATATCTGTAGTTGGGATAGTGTTTCCTCAGAATATCTACCATTTCTCCGTTGGAGGAATGGTGAGAATGACATATGTACCTCCCTTCAGCTTCAGGTTTCTCATAAACTAATAGCAGCGCTTCAGCAACATCGCGTACATCTACAATTGGTCGGGGTCTGTTCTCTATTTCTTCATATCCTTCTGCATGGTGTATATACAAATATCAAGGTGTAGGAGAGCACAAAAACCAAAGTTAAAAAGGTTTATAAAGTATCTCAGTTCAGACTGATAGTAACATCAGAGGATAGTATTAGTAGCAAACTAGCAATTCAGTAACACTTATTGATAAATTGAATTAGCGCAGAGAAATTAAGGCAAATAATAGAAAAAAGATCATTAGATTGAAGTTTGCAAACAACGAAATCATCTAAGAAAGAATATTCCAACCTGCCATTAGGTTTATAAGAACCAAACTACTAGCATTTGCTGCTTGCTGAAGCATTGGTCCCAAGACAAGTGAAGGCAACAATGTGATAACATTGAGCCCGTTCATTTTAGCATATTCCAAAGCCTCAATTTCAGCTACTGTCTTGGAGTAACTATACCAGTTCTGCAGAGATAGGGAAACTTCTAAGAGGTCCAGGCCGGCGCCACGTAAGAAAAGATGTACTAATGATAATGAAATCCATCTAACGAACAATTCCTCCCATTATAATCATAGTTCTAATCAGTTTTGAGAGCAAAATATCGAGATTCTATATTTTTCAAAGTTGCATGGTCACAAACATGATATGGATCGACTGCCGCTTACATTTGTTGTCTTGCAGTAGTCCGCATCTGACCAGCAATTCTCGTCTATGACTTGATCTTCCGGCCAGTTAGGGTTCATCATAACCGCGGAAACAGAAGAAACCACAACAACACGCTTAATATTGGATGCAGAGCATGCCCTGAGTACATTAAGAGTGCCATTTACAGCAGGCTCAACCAATTCCACCTGCAAAAATCCTCAACCCTCTGATACTGTGTATGGCTTCTTATGTACTAGTACCATATGCGACTTTCTCTCAAATTTCGCCAACACTCAAAGTGAAATTAAGTTCACTATTTTACCTCTTAGTGCAACTTTTTACTATTCTGAACAATTTTTTAATTTCTCATAGAATGGCAACCTTTTTACAAACACGAAAAAGAACAGAAAACAAAGCCCACTTGAAAGTTGAAACCATGTATCTCTCCTTGTACTAATCATAGTTACACACATTTTTGAAACAAACAAATGGCATCCGTTTGCACATCAAATCGAGTTGGTGGAAATGACATGCAAAGTCAAACATTAGCAGTGATGTATTCACAATTCAATCAGGCAGTTGAAATCAAATAAACTCAAAGAATTGAAAAAACTGTAAAGGAGACATATGGGACATGTTAAATCAAAGGTAAAAAGACACTTTTGGTCCACCAAATCAACCAGGTCAAATGAAATAGAATTTGGTTAATTTGATGCTTAATACAGTTAAAACAGAATCAAAATGGATCAGTTTGAAATCGAAACAGCTTCCAGTTTGACTGATTGATACATTAATGCATCGAATTGATACGTGGGACCAAAACACAACAGACCAAAGACTCTGAGTTCCAAAAGCCAGGCTAAAAGAAATAACAGTAACCAGACAGTGATGGACCAAGAATTGATTTTGTTTTTCCCCCTAAATTCGAAATTGAAACAAATTGAAATAAATGGCTTGCCTGGGGATTGGGAACGGAGGAGGATGGAACAGGAGAAGCTACATGAAACACACCATGGCATCCATTGACAGCTGCTAAAATGGATTGGTAATCCAACAAATCAGCCTTCACCAATTTAAGCTGATTCTCTTCATCCCCAAGTTTCTTCAAATGAGCATATTTCTCATTCTCTAACAATAAAGTAAAAAACCCACCAAAGAAGAAAAATTCAGAAATACGAACAATTGATTCAAGATTCGATTTTTTAAAATGAAACCCAGTTCAAAATTATCAAATCGGAATTGGGGCGATTAATTTGAATGATTACCAGGATCTCGGACGGTGCCAACAACATTATAGTTATGGGAGAGAAGGAGCTTGACGAGCCAAGATGCCACGTATCCTCCGGCCCCTGTCACGCATACTGTTCTATTTTGTTGCTCCATGGACATAAGAACTAAGAAGTAGTACTAGGTCGATGAGATTAAGGAATGGAGGAGAATAATTTCTGCTCGAAATTGCGAATTTGTTAGATGACTGATGACGTAATGGTTTTCTTTGTATTGATTCTGGGCAATGTAGCTGAATATTATACTTTGTGTATTTGCAAGCATTGGGACAAAGATGATTGTTGATGTCGTAGCTTGGGAGTCCACAGTCAAAGATAGACTCCTAAGAGAAAATTTAAAAATGATTTAATGTCGACATTATAAGCTCGATGGAGATTGATACAAATATTAGTAAGAAAACACGTTTTTTAGATTTTTTTTTTGAATAAATATGTCACGTCAAACATCTCTATATATCAATTTTTTTCTGCAAAAAATTCATTTACTTATTACAAAAGGAGAACGCGGCGTGAAGCCTCCGACACCTCGCAAAGTTGAATTGACCTTTAACAAAATAGCCAAGGAATGTATTAAAAATGAAATTTTAATAAGATAATTATTTTGGGATAGAAAAAATATGTTAATTTGACGTGATAAATATATATATAGAGTTAGTCTTTAACCTTTCTATAATATATGAAACAGAAGGAAGGAGCCCTTCCATTGTCCCCAATTGATCATCAAAAGGTTATTTGTGAAAATTGTGAATAAAAGCATTTGATCATTCACGGTACAGCGAACCACACAATGGTTAGTGTGACAAACAAATGTACAGCCAAAGGATTATGGTCAAAATGGACTAATGGAGTAATTCTTCTCCATTTTTGCAGCATGTTATCGAGTGACTGCGATGTTCTTTTGTGATCGCAGCTTTGTTTCTTTAGTTAGCGGTGGCAGAGGAGTGGGGAGTTCATGTTTCGGTGCACTCCCGGAGAGTCAAACTATGACTATGGCATTGATATTATTGAGATCGCTTATAGAAAAATTTTAGTCACCTAATAATTAGTTCAGGTAGTGACATCTCTGATAATCTCCTTCTCGCTTCGGAAGTAGTGCAGTCTGTTGACAAAACAGAGAAAGTTCAGGATCATGACATAACATCCTCTTCAAAATTCGACCTGATGGTGAAAGCTTTGGATATTTGGTGGCGCTTTTTCATATCTTTTGCTACTTTAACTCTGTTTTTCATGGAAGATTTGTAGACTCCATCAGTCCATCATATCAGACAGACGAACCTGAAAAGTACCTCTTCTTATTTCTAAATAGCAGTCCCACAGAATTTTTCAAACCATTGCGAGACCTCAAACAAGATGATGCATTATCAGTCTCGCCATACTTGTTTATGTTACTTCAGGAGGTTTTACTCATGGGATGCAAGGCATTGCGGATGCTGCATTCTTACAAACTTACAGCTCCAAGAACTTAATACTAGTATTTTCTTGAGGCTAGCTAAAAGTGGCTCTAAACTCTAAAGCACTCTTTAACATTTTTTTAGAAGATTAGTCTTGATGTTGTTCTTGGCACTTGAAAAATAAACTAGCAGAGATCCAAAATCTTTTCACATCTATTCCGTAGGCATAACAAACCACTTAACTCGCCCGACTCTTCCATGTCATATATTTGTGTCACAATCTAGCATATTTCGATATTTTAACAAAATGAACTATTGATCGCAATACAACACTTGCTCATTCTGTATTCATATTTTCAATAAACTGTCTATTTGAGGTATAAGATATTTGAAACAATGGATCTTTCCAGAGTAAATCGTATCAAAAGGTTATTTTCACAGATCAAATCATTCGCTTATTCATGGTACAAATTGGTATTCATTCATTTCATACAAAGAGATTGGTCATTATGAAAGCCATTTATAATTTACACATATGTCTTTCATCTGAACGAAAATTGATGCTAACAAATAGACAAAGCACGCCAAGATTTCACTTGTTCGACAAAATTCCTGCGTGTTTGTAACTTTCAACAGAGTCTATAATTGTTTCCTCCAATGGCCGGTATCTCCAACCCAGCTTCTGTAGTTTCTCAGAACTTAAATTCTCCCTCTTCAACTCAGTAAACCTGCAAGGCGTTGATATACACCTTTTCAAAAGTTAATACAGTGCTTAGAAAAGAAAAGAAAAAAAATTTACTCTAACAAACTTTTTGAGCCCGATCTCGTGATAATAACAAACCACCCTTTACCACCACAGCAGACCAACCAACCCCAAGTTGGATTGCCATTTTAATGTCAAGTAACAAGAAGATCATCTGTTAAACAAGTTACAAGTATTACATGGAAAAAGCAAAATTTCACCTCTTAGGATATTTATCGCTGGGATAATGTTTCCTCAGGATATCCACCAATTCCCCGTCGGAGCAAGGGTGAGATGTACAAATGTACCTCCCTTCAGCTTCAGGTTTCTCATAAAGCAGTAGTAGCGCTTCCGCGACGTCGCGAACGTCTACAGTTGGTCGGGCCTTGTTCTCTACTTCTTCACACCCTTCTGAATATGATAACATGTCAAGGAAAGGAGGAGGAGTTTTAAATAACAATACAATGCTAACAAGGATTAACAAACCATGGACTTAAAAGAAATCAAATTGGAACGGAGAAATTAAAGTAAATAATTATTGTCCAGTTTGAGATTTCACTTTTAGTATAATTTGAATTAAAAATGAAAATCCAAACTGGACAATAATTTTGGGACGGAAGGAGTAAAGAGGTTCACAAAATAAGAATATCAACCTGTCATTAGCTTTATAACAATCAAGCTGCTAGCATTTGCATCTTGCTGCAACAAAGGTCCCAACACAAGTGATGGCAACAATGTGATAACGTTGAGCCCGGTCGCTTTGGCATATTCAAAAGCCAGCATTTCAGCAACTGTCTTGGAGTAACTATACCAAATCTGCAGAAATCAGCAGACCAAATGAGAATCTGTATCACTCAAAGTTGCATCATTCACAAAGGCTAATTATATGTGGAGTATTAGATGCTGCTTACATTCGCCGACTTGCAGTAGTCCTTATCGGACCAACAACTCTCATCTTTCACTTGATCTTCCGGCCAACTAGGGTTCATCATAACCGCGCCGACAGAAGAAACCACCACAACACGCTTGATGTTTGATTCAGAGCATGACTTTAGTACATTATGAGTACCATTCACAGCTGGCTCGATCAATTCCACCTGAAATGATCCTCTCAAATTGAATTAAACCATGTATTACTTTGTATGGCTTCTAAACTCTTTTATGTTCTCTATGCAACTTTCACGCCAAAATTGCAACTGCCACTATTATCAAAAACGAATGTCAGTTTCAGAAAAAGGGCTTGCCTGAGGATTGGAAACAGAGGAGGAAGGAACAGGGGAAGCTACATGAAACACACCATGGCAACCATTGATGGCTGCAGAAATGGATCGGTAATCCAGAAAATCAGCCTTCACCAATTTGAGCTGATTCTCTTTGCTCCCAAGTTTCTTCAGATGAGCATATTTTTCATTATCTGCGGATTAAATCAAAACTCACTAATTTCTTTTCTTAAAAAAAACACACACACACACAACAGATACGCAATTAAAAGATTTTTAACTAATCGAAACAGAAGAGTGAGACAATCAATTCGATTAATTACCAGGGTCCCGAACTGTGCCAACAACAGAATAGTTACGGGAAAGAAGGAGCTCGACAAGCCAAGATGCAACGAATCCTCCAGCTCCTGTAACGCAGACTATTCTATTTTGCTGCTGCTCCATGAACATGTGAAGTTGTCTACTCCGTACTAAAGTATTTGGACGACGATTCAATGAAATCAAGGAATGTAGAAGATTTATAATGTTGGTGGAACCTTCTACTCTGTTTTCTGCGGAGATGATTATGTAGTACTTGTCTTAGAGAAGTAGAGTCAAAGATAAACTCTTGCAAGGGGAAAAATTTATTTGGTGTCTTCATCAAAAGTAAGATAGGATGGCTAGTTTGCCGCAAGATTATATATATATAGAACAATATGAAAGCGCGAGTAATTTGAGTACAAATATAAATGTTTTTGACTTCAACGAAAATACACCGTATTTACGTGTAATGTAGTGGCTTGAACTAGACGAGACAGATAACACAACAAAAAAAAAAGGAATAAAAAAAAAAAATGGCGTGTGTAAGTGAGTTTTGAATATGGTGCAAGGAGAGGAAGAGAAGTTGGAGGTCCACGGAGGCCTTGTAGGTGGCATTCGAGAACTTATGGTGAGGTCTTGGACACTACAGTAACTTTAAAAATATTTGGCTTGTAATTTTAAAGCATTTCTATAGAGGTGGATACCACTGCGATTTGTATGGTAGATATATTGTTTTTCGGAAATAAGGTTTTTGTCCCATCAGTCGAACTTAAATTATAATGATTTCTCATAACTAGCTTTCGGTTTTTTTTTTTTTTTTCCATTAAATCACATAGGAAAAGTATTAATTATAATGTGATAAAGCAACAAGCTGATTTTTTTTTTAAATTTTTTTATTTTTTTTAATTTTAATTTTATTTTTGTTTTTTTAACTGTGATTGATACTTGGTGTTTGTACGGTGATTGCTCAAGTTAGACTTAAAGCAAGCTTCTTAAAAAATATGTGAGCCTTTAGTGACTACATACCAAAAACCTTAAAACATATATATACCTACATATGTTAATAACATGATAAATCGACTGGCTGGCCTACTGCAATTGATATTCCTAGGTCCTGGTTAAGTCTCTATCTCAACTAATCGGTTTCAAGAAGGGTAAGTCTCTTAAGTAGAACTCTCTCAATATATCATCTTTTTTAAATGTAATACATCTTGTGTTCAAACCTGCCCAACTAATATGAACTTCAGCTAGTACTATTCTTTCCGCGAGCTAAATTTTATTAATCATGGAAATGGCATGTAGCTAATGATGTTAGCCAATAAGGTTTGACTTGTCCATAACGATCCATGGTTCGTGTTTTGAACCTAATTGACTTGGTGAAGAGTTGTGATTCGCTCATAACAATCCGACCCATTTCTGTTTTAAAACTATAAAGAATAATGAATAGTATCACTTAATAAGTGGGAAAAATTAGGGTCTGGGAAGTTTTGCCAAAATAAAAATTCAGATGAAGCTTCCTCGACACATTTCTTCACCCTTCTACAAACCAGCAACTCAAAAACTTCTTCTTTGACTGCCATTTCTACACCCCAAAAACCCTAATCCAACTCAAAATTTTGCTTCTCTTTAAGTTTATTTATTTGGGTTCAAAATGTTGAAGGTAAGATTGGTTCAAGGTAGGCTCTTGAAGAAGGTTGTGGACGCCATAAAGGATTTATTGCACTGCGAATTTCGACTGTTCCCCCAGCGGGTTGTACCTGGAAGCCACGGATTCCAACGGAGTGCCCTGGTCTCACTTCTTCTCAGATCTGAGGGCTTTGATCACTACCACTGTGACCGTAACATCTCCATGGGAATTGATCTCGATTATATGTCTATGGTTTTGAGATTTGCCTCCAGTGACGATGCCGTCGCCACCATCCAGATTGACGACCACCGCACTAACACGGTCACTTTAGGTTCGAAACTCGTCATGAGATTTCCGATATCCAGATGAAAATGATGCAGATTCCGAGTGAGTATCTAGGACTTCCGGAAGAAGCGCATTACCACGCAACGGTGATAATGCCGTCAACAGCGTTTGCACGAATCTGCCACAACCTTAGCCTTATCGACGACTACGTTGTCCGTCACTATAGATGCTGTTAAATTCTCGACGAAAAGGGCTAATACTGTTCGCCGGCATAATACGGTCGTAGATAAGCCGGAGGATGCGAGCGTGATGGAAATGAATAAACCGGTTTCTTTGTCATTTAGTCTTGCTTATTTGAAGAACATAAACAAAGCGAGTACTCTGTCGGACTCGGTAACCATCCGGCTTTCGTCGGAGCTTCCGGCGGAATTTGAGTTCAAGATTGCGGAGATGGGTTGCGTAAGGTTCTTTCCGGCTCCACGAATTGATGAAAATGTGAAATGTAACATAAGATAGAAGGGAAAATGGGTCTTTTTATCCCAAAGTTTGGGTCACACCATCCAAAATATCCCAAAGTTTAAAAATATGCCATTTACATGCCAAACTTTTTAAATACATTAGGATATTCGTTAAATTTTTAACTCCAATTAATTAATTAGTGGTGGTACTTTATTCTGTTTCTCCTCCTCCAATTCTTTTAATCATTTAACACGTTCCACTAATTCCCGAAAATAGCTAAACCTAATTTGATCTTCACATCATCTATTCTTCCCTTGCTTAGAAAAAGAAAAAAAAAAATTCAAGATTCACCTTCTAGATTGATAACAATGATGAGAGGTTTTGTGTGTGTCCTAATTAGAAAGTAAGCCCCATTTCATTTATTTTTTTAAATATGTAGTATTATTATAAAAATTGGTGTTGTAATTAATGCATGGATATGTAACTTTTTTGCTTGGCATGAACCAAATTTACCAAACGCAAGCATGAAACTTTTTTGACTAAAAAAAATAGGAGAAAAGAAACTGAATGAAATATCGTCATTAATAACTTGAAAAAATTAACAAATGTCCTAATATTACATATTTTTGAAAAGTTTGGGATGAAAATGGCATGCTTTTAAATTTTGGAATGTTTTAAATGGTGTGACTCAAACTTTAGGATGAAAAGGCCCATTCTCCCTATGTGGGTAGATAATCTATTGCGAAAATTAAATTAAGGGAGAATGGGCCTTTTATTGCAACTACACAAATTTGTAAACTAACCAAATCATACTGATAGCAATCTCGTAAATGAATCAAATTTCGTTAATGCAACCATCAAACAAGAAAGTATGAAGATAATTTGTCAATCCCGTAAAACTCAAAAGAGTGCGAAAAATTCACAGTAAGATGATCGTTTATCTAAGGATTTCTATCTCTAAACTCAAACCAAGCAAAGAACACATTATCCATGAAAGATTCAAATTAAACAACAACCCACACTAAGAATAGTAAGGACATCATTCAATATACTCGATCAGTCATCATTCAAGAGACTCAAGAAAGGTAGGAGCAAACCATGCTCAACTATGAAGGAATATTATTGATTAGTAATCTCCATAACCAACAAAGATATGCAACACATACACTATCTCAAAATGCTTATGCTAAAGTACAACTCATCCAACAAAAGTAGGACAAACCCCACAATGGAACTCATGAACACACACCTCATGAATTCGAAAACCAAGCCAAAAGAAAGGCTCATCAATCGAACTACTAGAAGTAGTATGAAAATAAGAAGTTTAGTTTTAAAAAATTTCTATCAAGAAGCATACTTGAAAAAGAACGGTTTCTGCAAGATCAAAAGATCCAAGACAAGATGAAAACCCTCTTGGTTAAATCATACTTGACACGAAAAATAGACACTCCATTTAACAAAAGTTCCTCACAGGAAAAACTCTCATTAGAGATAACAAAAATGACCACTCAAGGGTGCTTTAATTTTCGTCCATCCTCCCTTATTTATAGGCTATGAATTTCGGCCAGCACCCAAAAAAAAAAAAAAAGAAGACCAACTAGGACTCTTTAATCTTATCTCATGCAGGAGTAAAAGTAGAAGAGTATTTAATCTCTTTGACTCTATCTAAAAACTAGGAAACCTTATCTAAATGACTTATCCTCAAACAGGATAATACTTAGAAGGAATCTAAGACTCCTAATCAAAACACTCTAGTTTAATTCAGTCCACATGACTTATTTAACTAGATAAATTCGAAAATTAAACTCCTAGACTTAGACAAACTCTAAATCCGAAAATCAGCTCCAAAATATTGAAGTAAAATGTCTCGAACGCCCTTCCAAAAGTGGAATATTGGTCTTGCGCCCCTTAAGTTGTAGAAAACTCCAATTTACTCCAAAACTTATAGAATTCTCTTTATTGACCCCAAAAGATTGGAAAAACACTTGAAACATTTGAGATAGTTTGCAACCTATCCAATTGTGTAGCAATGGACTCAATCTTGAACACTTTGATCAAATAGGCCGTCCATTGAAGAACCTAAATGACTCTTCTCTCTAGCTTGATCAATGATCTTCATGGAGCACCTAGAGTCAAACTCCTTTGATACCCTTGAGCACTTATTTCCATGAGTGAATCATCTTCTTTGGTTTGAACTCCAAAGTTAATGACATTCTCAGCACCTTAATCATAGTTCTCTTGAACCAACTCCCTATCACATAGGTAGTCAAGATCCATCCTTTCTTCCTTGATTAGCCTGCAAAGTAAACTTGGCATTCCAAAACTAGAATGAAGGACTAGCTCATTCGCCTCATTAGGAGAATCACCATAGAAGGCTACATGATTCTCATCATCCCCTCCTTCTTTAAGTGGATTCGTCCTCGAATATCAACCTCTAAACTTGCACAAGGAACAAACGAGATATAAGGGTTAGTAAAATTCTCATCCTCACCACACTCTGATTTTCTCTCATTGCGTGCATCTTTTTCTGTTTCCACGCTATTTTCATGGTTTCTCTCGCCTCAAGTCTTACCTTAACGTGACTTTTTTTATTTTCTTGCGTCACTCTCTCGACTTTTTCTCTCCCTTGTGTATAGGTTATCTTACGTCTTTTCTCTCATACAGATTTTGCTTCTTCATAAGCCAAATGCTTAAGAATATATTTTCTGTCCTCTTTAGTAAAGACAAAGATATTCTTCGAGCAATGGTGCACAGCATCTACATATGATTTCCAAGGCCTACTTAGCAAAATATCACAAAGAGACATAGGAATTACATCAAAGTAAATTTCATCCCTATACTCACCAACTTGAAAAGATACCATGGCCTTCTTAGTGACATCCACAACCATCTCTTCACTCAACCATTGAAGCTTGTATGATCTAGTATGCGGATCCATCTTGATTCCGTTTGCCATGCAAAATTCCTCACTTAT